GCATGCGTGGCGTCGCGGGCGGGATGCCCGTATAAGTACCCAGACAGGTAAGATCTGGGGTCTGAAACGCAACGACACGCCGCCCCCTCCCCGCGCCGAAAGTCAAGATCGACCTCGCTGAGCTGCACCCCCAGCTGCTCCTCCAAACAGCCAAGCACGAATGGTCTTGAGCTCCAACTGTGCCCTCAGCTGCTCCCCGCCAACCACCAACGAGCACTAGGCCCGGTCACACCAACGTCGCTCCCCACTCGCCTCGCCTCGTCTTTCCGCCAAATCTCGAATCCACAAAGAAAATAGAGAGAGAGCACGCACGCATCCTCGAAATTCCGTATACTCCCGCGCACCTGCCGCTGCACGCCCAGCCCGCCCGACACGCCGACGCCCGCCTCGGCGTCGACGAGCTCGGAGGCGGACTCGGCTTCTTCTCTGTTGCGAGTGGAACGAGTCCGTGGGAGAGGGTGAGTGCAGGGACAGTGTGAGGAAAAGTACGGTGAGAGGGAGGGAGGGTGAGGCGGAAGGGAAGGGGAAGGGGAGGGGAGAGGGAGAGGGGAAGGACGAAGGAAGGGGGGAGGAAGGGTGGCGAGCGGGAGGGAGGAGGGAGAGAAGAAAAGGTAGGGAGGAGGAAGAGAAGGAGGGCGAAAGGGAGTGGCAAATGAGTGCCGGAGAGAATAACCAATTGTGGGAGGCGGGAGGGGAGGAGTGGGTGGGTGGAAGGAGCGAGTGAGGGCAAGGACAAGGGCGAGGGAGAGGGCGAGAATCGGAACGGGGAGGGCGACGGACGAAGTGAGGGAGTGCGGGGAGTAAGGGTGAGAGGGGGCAAGCGGGAGAGGGAGGAGGAGAGCCAGGGGGGAGGAGTGCATGGGAAGAGCGGAGCGACGACCAAATAGCGAGGCGAGCGAGCGCGAGTGCGAGAGGGCAAGTAGGCAAGACCAAAGCGAGCAACAGAAAGAAAACCAAAAAGTAAAAGTCAAATCAGTAACATCCCTCTTTGCAATATACCACACTAACCGCAACAGCTGAAACACCCTCTGCATCCTCCCCACCGCAATAATCTTGCTCTTGATCTCCTGCCTCCTCCTTGCGACTTCTTCCGGCGTACTGAGCCCGAGCGTCCGCGCGGTCCGATCCCGCATCTCCGCGTCCCCGTCCGCATCGAGCGTCTTCCTCCGCCTCCGCTTTGCGCGCTTGTCCCCCGTCTCTACGCGCACGCCCGGCGTGTCGGTGTCCATTGCCATCTCCGCGCCTGCGCTGGGGAAGCCGGTCGCGGAGGTCGATGCAGACGCAGCAGGCAAGCCCTCGACGCCGCCCTCGCCCTCCGAGCCCGAGTCGGACTCGAGCTCCTCCTCGGAGCAGATGGAGAGAATCGCGAGGAGCATCTCCGTTACTGCAAATGAAACGGAAGCATCAGCATTCAGCACTGTATCGATGGGAGCAAACCAGAATCGCAAGAGGGACCGGTGAAGAGTAGGGGAGGAAGGCCCGCGCCTGCGCAACAGCACAGGTACTCGATCGCATCGTCCGTCGAACCACGGTCACGCTGGCGTTCAGCAGCGTCACCGTGTATGCTCGGCAGCAGCACCCCAGCCTTGGATGGTATTCTCACCGCGCCGACCCGTCTTCGTCTTCGTCCCCGTCTACGCGGCGCAGCACACCGCCGCCGCGGGCGCGCATCTCCTGCGGGCACCCGTCCACGTTCACGTCCACGCGTCGTGTGTCCAACAAACGGGGCGCAGCACCCACCCACATCCACGCGTCGTCCCGACAAAAGAGGCGCACACCGCACGTGCGATAATCACCCCACCCGCAAGACACGCGACCCACCATCCACGCCCTGTCATTTCGGGCGCGCGATCGCCTCAACACGTCCCCGCCCCACGCGCGTGCCGCGTTCTCCTCTGCTCCACGCCGCCTCCTTGGCGCCCCCCGAAATCCGAATCCACGGCTGCCCCACCCGTCCACGCCCCTTCACGCAGTCTCGCTCCACGCCACTCTCTGCGTCCCCACTCCCCCAAAAGAACCCTCCGTCCACCCTCCAGCACACCCGTCATTAAACTAGAGGCACGAAACCGAACCGAACAGGGAGCAGTCCAAACAAAAACGCGCACGCACTCTTCGCGCCGACAAACGGCAAGCTCCACGTGAACGCGTTCTGGAAGTTGGGCAGCCAGTACGGGTGCGGGGAGGCGTTGTACTGCCTTATCGTAATGTTCTTGTTGGCGTACTTGAGGATAGCGCCGCGGTTGTGGTAGACATCGAGGTAGTTTGGGGCCTGAGAGGTGGGAGTGTGAATATCGATAGATATGATATGATATGATAAACTGAGAAGAGGGAGACGACGCACCGAAAAGATAGTAATCACCGACGGAAACTTTTTGGTCGGCGTCTTGCGGTGCATCGTGTACCCCGCATCCTGCGCCTCATGCCCGCGTATGATCCCCAGCAGCCCATTCCGTTCCAAAAACTGGCACGCCGCCGCGTAGGTGAAGAAGAAACTACACCCCCGCGTCGCATTATGCAGGAACGTCGTGCCCGGCGGCACCGCCCTCTCCTCCTCGTGCCCAAACCCCGCAATCGGATCGCTCCACAGCAGATCGCACAGCAGCCCCCTGCTCCCGGGCTCCGCGAACCGGTCCAGGTGCTGTATATCGCTCAGCTGCACAAGCTCCGGGCTGAGGCCGCCGTGTACGCAGAAGAACCTCCCGTCAACCAAAGCGGCGACGGGGAGGGCGCGGAAGCTGGCGGTGCACGCGTCGTAGACGCGCTGGGAGTACTTGTGCAGACACTCGCGCTTGAAGGTGAAGTACTCGGTGAGGTGGGTGCACTCGTGGTTCCCGCGGAGCAGGGTGAATTTGTGGGGGAACCAGAGCTTGAGGGTGTAGAGGTACAGAAGGCACTCGATTCCGAAGCAGCCGCGGTCGACGTAGTCGCCAAGGAAAAGGTACGCGTTGTCTGTCAAAGGCCCGCCAACGTCGAAGAGCTTCATTAGGTCGTACTGAGTGTATTACTCGCCTCAGTATTTATTTATTTGACAACATGAATGAGACGCACGTATTGGCCATGGATATCCCCGCAAATCGTGACCGGGCCCTGGACCTCGACCATATTCGGCTCTGCGGTGAGCAGCTGCGTCGCGTGCTCGAGGATATGCAGCGCATGCTCCTCGGTCAACCTCCCTTCTCGGAAGAAGTGGTCGCGCAGGATGCGGACATTGGGTTTTGACGCGCCAAAGTCGTCTAGGGCGAAGAACTCGGCGTCAGAGAGACGGTGAGTGGCGGGCTGCGGGACCTAAATATTTTATTGGATGAATGAATATTTTATTTGACGGGTATTGAATGGGAATGAGAATAAGAAGGATTTGGACGCGTACCGACTTAATTGGGCGATCGCGCGTTGAGGTTGAGAGGGAGTCCATTAAGTGTGTACCCCAGTTAGTTTTAAAAGGTCAATGGGGAATGGAGATTAATATCTGATCACCGCGGGCGGCCCGCGATGCCGCTGAAAAAACTGGTTAAACCGTTTAACCAGACGCGGCCATAACCCACCGCTGCAAAGTTACTGGGTTGGATGCGGCAGGTTGGGGTTCGGCTTGATCCCCTCCTCGCCGCGTCATGTACTGGAAGTACTTGGTTCGTTCTCGCGTTTTCTCGATTTGAGCCCAGGGTTGGCCCAGGGACAAAAAGAAATTCGAATATATTCAGAGACGAGGGCCAAGGGGAGTTCGGGATTCGAAATTCGGATATAGGGTCGAAAAGTTTTTTTCGGCCCTAAGCTGACCCCCCCCCCCTCCCCTCCTTCCTAATAGGGAAGGAGTTTTCCACCCCTAGGGCCGGGCCGATCTCTCCGCGTCCAGCCACCGCTGTTCAACTTATTTCCCACCACCTCCTTGAACTTGATAATGCTTTTTTATATCATCTAATGACTGTTGGTGATAAATTGAACATTCAGCACTCCAAGAGTTGAATAATTTCTAACCTAAGAACTGACCACATTTGGCTTGAATTTGGCTTGAATCACAGAAGGCATAGGTTCAGACTGATAAATTTCTTCTATACACTCCCTGGGGATTTATATGTGTTTCTTACAGCCAACCAACACCTCCCTCATGGTATATTAGGTATTTTGAAGCTCTAAACTTTATATAAGGAAAAGTTTTTTTCACCCCAACCTGGACCCCCCCCCCCCCCCTCCCCACGTACGGATTTTTAATCCCGATCCCCCCTTGACGAGGGCTATGTGGACAAAGCGGACGTTGTGTACGCTGCACTGGTGCGGCCCGTTCCTTTGGATCACGTCACATGCAGCAGTGCCAGTCCGAGGTTCGATTCCTCATGTCCGCATTTCACCTTTCCCGGTTTCTTTTTTCATCGTTGTGGACATTCACAGAATGAAACGAAACTACGGCGAGCTGCCAAAAAAATGGTGTGTCTCTCAGTGTCGACTCATTATACGGAATACCTTTAAGAGAATCCTTATCCGATCAGCCCTGGGCAGGCTGGAATGTGGAGTTCAAAAATTGGCTTCAACTCAACTCAACGAGCGTTCCCTGCCCATTTTTTGGGGGGGCCCACTCTCTGGCCTAGTAGACAAACACTTGGATATATTCGGAGCCAAGGGCTTTACTTGAAAAGCGGACGTTGTGCATGGTGCACTGCTGCGACCCGTACGCTCGAACGTGATACCTGTTCTGCAGCAGCTCGAGGTTCGACTCCTCGCGTCCGCATCGTTATTCTTCTACTGCCTTTTTTTTTCCTGGGCGGGGGGATTCACACTGTGAAACGAAAGTGGCGAAAAAACGTCTGCGAGTGTCCAATATAAAAGATTGTGGACATTATGTGATCAGCCCTGGGCAAGCGAGACTCGGATGTTGGGTTGAACAATTGGGTCAGCCATTCAAGGTTACAACGGGCTCGGTATTCTGTCCTACCTTTTAAGCCCATTGACTGGCCCAGAGGACGAAGTTTCGAGTCTATGTATTCGGAGCCAAGGCCCTGCCGGGAAAAGCGGACGTTGTGCATGGTGCACTGCTGCGACCCATGATATTATCACGGTGTTCCTATTCCGCAGCAGTCCGAGGTTCGAGTCCTCGCGTCCGCATCTTTCCGTGCTTTCTTAAAATTTTTGGGAAGATTCAGCCTGTGAGAGCCAAGGCCCTGCCAGGAAAAGTGGACGTTGTGCATGGTGCACTGCTGCGACCCATGATATTATCACGGTGTTCCTATTCCGCAGCTGTCCGAGGTTCGATTCCTCACGTCCGAATCTTTCCGTGCTTTCTTAATTTTTTGAAGCAGATTCACTCTGTGAAACCGACACTCGCTTAGAAATGGACACGAAGAGTGTCTGCCAATGTCGAATTGTGGGCCACTCACTGAAGCATGAATATACATGGTTGTATGCAGCAGGCTGCTCGGGCTCCCCAAGTCCTTGATTCGTTCTCCTTTTTTGGAGCCTACTCATCCTGGCCTGCTTGCTAGTAAGTAGACAAAATTCGGCCTTACAGGAAAAGCGGACGTTGTGCATGGTGCACTGCCGTGACCCATAAGAAATCGGGATGTTGGTTTCGCAGCCGCTCGAGGTTCGATCCCTCGCTTCCGCATTTGAAAGTTTCCTTGCTATACCACTTTTTTTGTTCTGTGGAAGATTCACACCGAGAAGCGAAACTGGAATGCGATCTGGCTAAAAAGCGGAGAGCTGTCAGTGCCAAATTATGCGGAATATATAAGGCCCCGAACGGCCGGAATGCCCGGTTGAAAAATTGGCTCAATTGTCCTACTCAACGGCACAGTGGCATAGTGTTCAGTCCCTTTCACACTCTTTTAAGTAGACAAAATTCGGCCTTAAAGTTACAGGAAAAGCGGACGTTGCGCAAGGTGCACTGCCGTGACCCATGAAAATTCGGGATTCCGATTTCGCAGCCACTCGGGGTTCGAATCCTCGCTTCCGCATTTGAAAGTTTCCTTGCAATCCCACTTTTTTTGGTTCTGTGGAAGATTCACACTGAGAAGCGAAACTGTATTGCGATCTGGCTAAAAAGCGGAGAGTGCGCTAGCAGCCCCAAATTACTTATGCGGAATATAAGGGCCCGAACGGGCCGGAATGCCCGGTTGAAAAATAGGCTCAATTGTCCGACTCACCGACAGTGGCATAGTTATTGGTTTTATCTCGGCAACCAATTGAGATATCACTCCTGGCTGTTAGGCCTTTGGTTGCAGGCTCATGAGGAGCTCTACTGTAACTACTGTATATATATTAGAATCCAATTAATCCTGCAGGTTCCATCGAGTTCGGCATCAGTCAGCATCAGTCATCCATCAGTCAGCGTCCTCGGTCTTCTCTCGGAGTTGTGCTGGATTCCAAATCTCCAACAATAGTGTTCAGTACCTTTCACACTCTTTCGCCTAGTGGAGAAATTGAATATACTATTCGGACACAAGGGCCTCGCATGAGAAGCGGATGTTGTGCATGGTGCACTGCTGCGTCCCGTGGTCCAAGCGCAAACCGTTCTGCAGTAGTCCGAGGTTCGATTCCTCGCATCCGCATTGTGCGTCTTCGGGTAGCAATTTTTTTAGAAATTTAAACTGATGGTCTATCCTTTGTAGAAAGGAGCCCACGCAATGGCTGCTGAATTCAAACTGCGCCATTACAGTACTTCTGTGAAACCTCCTGGTTTCTGCAGAGTAGGTGCTCCTCGCAATACCTAGGTTGGGATTGAATCGTGAACAGCTATTGTTCACGACCTTCTTGGAGAACCAAGGTGGGCTCGCACTGAGTGGAGCCCTACCTGTATCCCTGGCTGAGGGACAGTGTTTCCCTCCGCAGGGCTCTTGTTACCAAGAGCAGTGGGCAGTTGCTGGGTGCCCAGCCAGCAAGGTTTGGAGTAGCGGTGCGAGGCCAGCGCACACGTGTCTTGAGGTAGTACGACGTGGTGCAGAGTAAAAGATGATGTCATTATGTAATACGGTTACCAAACAATGTACGCTAACTAAAGATGATTGCACTAAGTCAAATATATGAGCATATCTACAAGATGTCACAACTTCTTTCTATGGAAAGATCCAATCTCGCAGTGCCGTGTTGAAATAATTGAACTACAGTCTATGCTGTCTGGGAACAAAGAGAAGCGAGAGATCGGGCATAGTGCACCACTGCGAAGGAACCCATGGAGGTGAGTTGGATGCAGCAGGTGAGTTTGACTCGTCCTACTGTAGGTCCTCGCGAATTTTTTCAGCCAGTCACTGGCCTACCAGACAAAATTTAGAATATATTTGGAGCCACGGGCCATATACAAAAGCGGACACCGTGCATGTTTGCGACATTAGACAGCTTGTGCAAAGCCACACAGAGCTGCATGCGGCTTTTGTGCATTGTGCAAAGCCGCATGATGAACCGAGGGTTTTATGACTGTATCTATATTCATTTTGATGAAATACTAGTAAATTAGGTGCTATACCGTACATTGAACCACTTACCAATCATGATGTGCATCATTTTGACGTCATTATTTGGCTTCTCCACAGCCGCTGTGCGGCTATGGCCGTGATGCTGCCAAAAAAGGGTCATTTCCCACACTCGCTCCACCCACCTGATGCTGGATCAATACCAACAGCTTCCAAAGCACTCTACGGCATCTACGCAAGGATCAAATACATCATTGATAGGGAAACAAAAGCCGCATGCGGCTCTGTGCGGCTTTGCACAAGCTGTCTATTGGGTAACACATCCTCTTCAGCAGCAGTCTGAGGTTCAATTCCTTACGTCCGCATTTCTCTGTTGCGTCGGGCTTTTTTTGCTCTGGAAAGATTCGCACTGTGAAACGAACATGGGGCGGAAAAATAGAAAGTGCCAGTTAGCGTCGAATTATGCACAACATAAGAGAATGGATCAGTGGCTCCGCCGTTGAATGGGCATGGTGTTTCCTCCCTCCCCACTTTTGGAGCCCAATATCGGTTTACATGGAAGCAGACGTTGTGCATGGTGCACTGCTGCGATCCGTTAACCTGAGTCTTCACCCATTCTGAAACTCTTCGAGGTTCGATTCCTCGTGTTTGCATCTCCATTTCCACCCTGTCTTTTTTATTTAGAATGTTCACACTAGAAGCGAAACTGGAGGGACCTCGTGAACAAAAAATGGAGAGTGTCTGTCAGTGTCGTAATAATAAGGGATGGACACGAGTAAACCCGCGGGTTTTATATAATGACGATGTGGAGCTTGACTCTACAAATTTTTTGAGCCCAAAAAAATGCAGAACGGTCAAGAACTGACTGAATTATGGTCAAAACAAGTTTCATACCCCAAGGTCACATACACATGTCACAGGACCTTTGAAAATGGGTTCGAACCCGCGGGTCTGGGCCATAAATCTGCTACTGCAGACAGGGGTTTCGCTATTTTTGACCCCAAACCCGACAAGACCATAACTCAGTCAGTTCTTCACTGATTGTGCTGCTTCTGGGCTCAAAAAAATCGTAGACTCGAGCTCAGCGTTGTGATTACATAAAATTGATAAAAAACCCGTGTCCATCCCTACCAGTGGCAGTGGCAGTGGCAGTGGCAGTGAGGCTGAAGCTGAGGCTGGTAGTACTACTACTAACAGTAACAGTAACAGTTGTATTATGCCGAACTAGCGGATGCTCATGAATAAATTCACGGACTAGCCCAGCTCCAGTAACCCTTACTCAAATCCTGTCCCCCGTCCTGTCCCACATACTATGCACTCCCAAGTCCTAATCTGTTTCCAGCTGTTCGCTTTCTTTGGCCTTTGCACATCTGATTCCTGTCCTGCTTGATCCTCCTCAATACTCAAATTCTCTGAACAACAGGTCTTACATTTAAGTCTCCGTCACATGGGTTGGACAGCTATATTAACTTGCAAAACGGAAGTCTGTGTTTGCCGCCGCTTCTCTTCACCACCACTCTCTTTACTGTTTGCTTTGTAAAGTGGACTTGAAGGAGAACATGACACAACTATCTATCTTCTTGTTTGGTTTGTGGGATCTCACCTCTTCTCCTTGCATGTCCAATGCATGTCCATCATGATTGTCTACTGTTGTGCCTGCCATCTTCTCTATCCAATCGAGCCATTATGTGTCACTCAGTACTAAGGAACAGCTACTAAGGGAAACTTGGGTCAATCTAGCTATCTGTTGAATAAATTCTTGGTCATCGAACACAAATTCAACAGGTATAGGTGTTTCTCGGTTTAGTCGGCTGATTAAATCAAGTTTAGAGCATAATTGTACTCGATCTTCCTTACTCCTACTTAATATCTCTTGACACACTGTTTATCATTCTGACTTGTACTTGTTTCTTTTCTTTCAAAAGCTGCTATTCAACTGACTGCACCCTTCTTTCCGAAGTAGTATTGGTGCTGGATATTCCTGTGGTTCAACCACATTGAAAACATTCCGTGTCGGTGAGTGCTTGTGTCCATTAAATGAGGTTCTTGCCCGGTTTGGGATTCTACAAAACGATTCGGTACGGAAGCGACTTGCCTTAGGCCTACTGCATGTCGCAACCCTCAGATCTATGAGAGTTGAACCTAACTGTGGTCGTGTTTGGCTCGGAAGATGCTCGGTATATTTATTCCAACTGGTTGTCGTGAGTACGCCCAAGAGCCCGACGTCAACACTCTGTCTCCTGTGTCCCCCATTTTACTCATTTTATTATATAGTAGATATAAGAGAATGGATCGGCCCTGTATCCATCCGGGCCGGAATACCGGGTTGAAAATTTGGCTCAACTGTTCAACTCCACGAGACGCGGCCATGGCGCTCCGTTTAGCTCATTCACGAGCCTAGAACACAAAATGTTGGAATATATACAGGACAGCGGATATTGTGCATGGTGCACCGCTGCGATGACCTGTTCTTGTTCGGATCACCTCGTTGTGCATCAGTCCGAGGTTTGATTCCTCACGTCCGCATTGATACTGTTTTTTTTTTGTTTTGGAAGATTAACACTGTGAAACGAACGTGGGGCGAACTGGCCAAAAGTTGGAGAGTCCAGTACCCAATTATGCGGAATATAGGGTCCTGAGCGGGTAGGCATCCCGGGGCTGAATGCCATTCAATTCAATGAGCCTTTGTTCCCTGCCCATTTTTTTCAGCCCACTCTCTGGCCTAGTGGACGAAGTTTCGAATATATTCAGAGACGAGGGCTTGACTTGAAAGCAGACATTGTGCATGGTGCACTGCTGCAACCTGTGATTGGGTGATGGCGTTCCTATTCATTCCGCAGCTGTCCGAGGTTTGATTCCTCGCATCCGCATGTCGTTAGCGATGACAATTTTTTTATTTTTTGGAGGGGAGCAGGGGGGGAAAATCATCATCCACGCAATGAAACAAAACTAGAGTGAACTCGCGAAAACAGCCGAGACTTTGAGCTGCTTTCTTGGTTCTTTTCGCAATACATAGTTCTGGAAGAAGTGTTCGAGCGATGAGTTATTGATTTAGTCAATATCCCCTCCCTCAAATGAGTAAGCCTAGTCTCTCATAGACAGACACTACAAACTTTTTTAGCTCGTACCTCGCTTGTTTGTAAGCCCACATATTGGCATTTTCCAGGGAGGATGTTGTGCACAGTGCACCTCCGTGACTCGTAGTTTCCTTATCACCTCGTTCTGCAGCAGTTTGGGGTTCGACTCTTCACGTCGGCATTGTTATCGCTCCAATGCTTTATGTTTTGGAATATTCACGCCGGCGAAAAAATGTGTCGAATTCTTCATGGATGAAATCTTCAGTTCCTCAGCGAGGTTCCCGGGCTCAAAGAAATTTAAAGCGATGGAATGGACAAGGTGATGTCGTTCATCCGCCTTGCATCGCTGAGGAACATCCGTGGACGATGTAAGGGTTCTCCTCTTCCTATATTCATATCTCACCTCATACTAAAATTCGTGAGTGGACACACATATTTAATCTCTACCTACATGTTACCTTTTGTAGTAGATTACTCAGCATTAGGTAATCTAACTACTCTTTTGCCAACAACTATCGTCTCGCCCTTTCATCTTTGGCTCTCGGCTCAGCCCAGCAGCTCAAGGAAGAAGGATAGACGACAGGATATTGTAACTGCACTCTCACCCACTCGAGCGTAGCCACTCACACTTGGATTACTCTCGTACTTTCGGTGACGTGTCAAGTCCTCAATCTGTCTTGCTCCTTCACCTCCACGCGAATATCGCAAGAGGCAGAACGTCTGGAGGAGAGAGGAATATCCTGCTTCTAACCAGATGTTCTTGTAGGAGAGGACCGTCTTCGAGGGTCGACACCACACACGCTACGCTAGTGATCTGCCAGGACCCGTCACTCATTCGTTCACTCTCTTGAGGCCCCAGGTCTCACAGGCGATGGCAACAGCAAAGACGAGCGTGGCAACGGCAGGGTGGATGGGCGCGCAAGCAGTGCTGACTGGGATGTCGTGAAGCTTGGCGGGGACACAACAATGGAGCGGGGGACTTGTGATGCGGCGGGGAGCGTGCAGCGGCCCAATTTGGCAGCTGTGCATTTCCGGCAGCACTTGGGGATGAGGTCGTCCACGTCT